GACTAATGTATTTTGAACAATTTTTACGCCTAAACGTATGTTGCAATACTATTATGGTGTAGCGCAGAAACCTTTCTCAAATTACACTACATTCGTAATAATATTTACCCTTTTCCGCTGTCAACTAACACTTTACTCTGGAACATCCGGTTCCAGACGAAGGCATAAACAATGTAAATTAACATCCTGTCCTCTTTCAAAGCGCACCATATTCTCTGTATTAAGTTAACTCTCAAATATATCAGTTGACAGGATTGTGTGAGTTTTATAAACGTATTCACATTTGTGTAATCAATGTCGACCAACATTTGTCTGCACCGGCATAACCTGGTTGGGTGAAACCTCACCAGTGGGCTAGTGAAGCTGATGTCCGCTTCCTGTATTTGTTCATGAGTCGCGCTACAAGACAGACGGAGGAAGGCCGATTAGCACACAAAGCGAGGAGAGGCCCGACACCAAACAATTAGTCGTGCACACAATACATTAAAAGTATGCGCCCAATCATGCTAAGCTACTTTCAGCATCCGTCAAATAATGTAAAATTATGCAAAAACCCAAAAGTTAAAAGATTTGAATCCACTTATTACATTCGGAAAATTCAATATTATAATTACTGTGAAAACTTGTGTGAATCGTGTAAACAAATGACCTGTTTCGTTTCTTGCCAGAACTTCGTCAATTTCCGCTCCTACTCGCACAGGAATTTTTTTCTTCTTTTTCTTCCCCTTAAGCTGTTCATTGTTCCAAATATGATCGAAATTAAAAAAGTGTTACATGTTTTGTCGCAATGCCGATTAGTAAATTCCGGCGATTTGGAAATTCAGACATTTAGTTCTCATAACAGAAAGAGGCATCTTAGATGCATTGATTTTGACAAAAACCTAGTAGATTCAAGTGTCTGGAAAGAAAATAACAGCGCAATGAGTCGAGAAACATTTTTCGCGACAGGGTAATATTCACACACGTAGAAATAATTAACTCTGAATTCACACACTGGATGTTTCAGTTTTGTCGAGAGCTACTATTCCGTAGCAAATTCAAAATCGCACTGCCACTTAATAGTTTCTCCAAGTGCACAAGTATTACTCCAGGTTCCTTCACTACTTCACAATCTAAATGCATGATTTTGCATCTTTTACACTAGAGAGACCAACTTTTCAAAATGTCTCTACTAGTACCTGCATTCTCTTTCCTTTTTATGCTTCAAAGTACCACTAATTATGCGACTGATTCTTCTAGTCTCACCATCTATGGATATTTGAAACCGTTCTCCCGCCGTCAGACTGGCTACCCAAGGCGCGAAGCCACTGACATTTATTTTTAATTTTTTTAACAACGAAACGAAAAGAGCTCTAGAAGACGCGCCACCGACATCAAAACCAAAAACGAATTTCAGTAAATCGGAATCCAAGAAAACGATATCGTGTAATTCTCCCTGAATGCCAGTAGCTGTGACAAGGGGTTAGGCCAGGGGAGGGTGGTGAGAACAGGGACGGATTTAACTGCAAGAAAAATAAGCAGTTTATTATGGGCCCCCATCCATGGAGATTCCCTGAGAGAAAAATAAAGAGGAGGAAACGTCCAATGTTATTGCTATTAATGCGATAAGCAATTATTTATAATATATATTATATAATATTATATATTACATATGTGTGTGTAAAGACATAAAAAATAATTTAAAGAGAAAAATAATGTAGATTCAATTATGAGCAATTCATTTTTTTTCTTTTTTCATACAGAATATATTCTGATCTTTTTAATTTTTTTTATCTGCAGGATTATTTACAGGAAGGGCTGCAGGCTGCAACACGATTGTGTTCGGGGGCCCTAAAAGCCTAAATCGAGCCCTGGCCATAACCCTATTTCCATATGACCTTCAGTGCGGGCCGCGGGGCGCGGGCACCGCCCTCGCCATCATAAGTGCGGCAGGGGCGAACGGCCGCGCGGGCGCGCACCGCCGCAACAAGAACTGGTCGTCGAACCGGCTCTCTCGATGCTTACCACGCTTTTTGCGTCACGAGTAATCCCCCAGGGACGTCAAATTATACTGTCACGACGCCTATGTGCACGCGCAATTTCCCAGGAAAAAACGGAATTTCAAATTGAATTGATTTCTTCGTCCGTCGTCCAATATTTTCGTGTAAGTGGACATTTTGTTTGTTTTAACCGAAAAAAATAATCAAAAGATACAACGCATTCTAATAGTTTATTTGTGTAGACATGAAAGTAAGCGGGGATAGTTGAAGAGAAATAGATCTGTAACTTTTTATTTGCTCTACAGTAATATCTATCATCTAATTAACATTTGAAAATAATGTATATTTTCTTCTTTTTAGCGTTGAGTTTCGTGAATGAAGGAGTGTGTGGATTTATTGTGATTTAAACCTATTTCTCAAACCCTGAGAATATTTCGTGTAATTCGTTAAGATTAGTACCTATTAAAAATTTGGAGTTTCTGCACTGACAAGTTTGTATGCACGGCGCAATTACCTCCCTGAGCGTTAAGTTCACCAGATACAAAAAATATTTACAAATTTGTAGTCACGAGAATGTGTATCCATCCAAGATTAGAGATAAGAAAAAAAAACAAATTATTTGATTTTTAAACACTGATAAATGAAAGTATTTATGTAATTAAGTTCATATCAGAATATGATTTAACTTTTCTATAACTCCCATTATTTTGACTGTTACATTTTCATGTTACGTTAATGTAAGAGTAGGAAAATTTACTTTATATCTTTTACATATTTTTACCCTGCTTTCCAGTGATTACTTCTCGGAAACATCTAAGAAGTTTTAGAAACATGGAATCTACACTTTCAAGTGATATGTAATCCGTTTTATTTTCAACAGGCATCTTACTTCTCTCACTGAACCATCTCTCTTAAGACGAAGAGCAGTAGAACACCCGAACAGAAATTTCTAGAATCTTCTCCACATTGCGTAAGACGTTTTGGTTTATTCTACTTTAGGAGAGATCGTAGAAGGAATATGTACGCAAGACGATTGCATAATATATAAAAATGTCATATGTTCAAGTAATTTTATTGATAATATGATATGCTTTTTGATAAGGGAGAGCAAATACTATACATTTATTCAAGTTATATGCTCAATATCACATAATTGAACACATCTGGACAAAATGAAGAACTTAGTTTCATTAAAATGACAGTTTCGAATGTAAACGAAGGTTATATTTGAGACATTTTGAATATACAAATAAAGTCAATTTTTGAGAAAACGCATCCGCATTAAAAATAACATTTATCGAGAAAGATCTACACGCTCAACATTTGAAGATGATTCCGAATTATTAAGAAGTGTTCAGGATTTCGTCACATTCATTACATTCGTCAATTTCCCTAATTTCCAGTGCTTGAAATTATAAATAGTTGCAAATATTTCAACTAACACCCACGGATACAAAACCCATTTAGAAGAATGCTGCGAACTTACAATTTCGACGTGGTCATTCATCATTTCCTTTCTATTATGGTAAATCTCTTACACGATTCCCGTGCTTAATCAACAATACACGTTCATCAAAACGAACTTTCTGCGCTTTCGAAAAAAGAAAACCTAATGGCATGGCCGGGGAGCAGCGGGAGGTCAAAGTCCTGGCAGCAGGACGCAAGGTGTCGTGCAGCGGCGCGCGGCCGGCACCGACGCGAGCTCCCGGACCTGGCCCCCCTCGGCCAGCGGCGGCCGGCCGCGGCCCCGAGAGGACGTCGAGGTGGGCGAGCCAGTGGGAGAGGCAGGCACTGCCAGCCAGCGAGCAGCGAGGCGTACGCTCCGGCAGGGCCCCGCACCGCGCCGCGCCGCCTGCCAGGTAGCAGCCGCCGCCGCCGCCGTCGCCAACGTCGCCTTTTCCACGAACCCGGAGGACTACAATCGCCTTTTCCGCTTTCCTTTCTCCCGAAAGACTGCGATAACTGTACACACGCCTCACCTTTGAAGCCCTATACCCGTAACATTCCTCATGGTGTTTCCCCTTCTCTTTGCCCTTGATTTCCTCCCTTTTTAGACGGAGACTGCTGCGAGCCGGTCTGCCCAAGGTCAGCCGTTCCTTTCCGGGCCTGCGCTCGTCGTGGCTGTTTAAATCAACGCGGTTGAAGTTCGTAAGCAACGCGCGTTTACGACCGCAAGAATGTAGATTCACAGCAGTGATACATCAGTCTCTTCGCTCCTTCTGGGAACTCCAATGAGCTGCGTTTCTAATGTCAAATATCCGCTATGTAAACGAGAAACCCACGTTTCATTACTGCGTAGTCTTTTTGTCATTCAATGTTGGTTATGTGCTGGACAAGCACTGTTGCGACCTTTGCTCACTCAGGAGAACCAAGTGCGAAGAGGAAGAGTAACAAGGGCAGTGACCCGACAGCAACGTCGCTTGTTAGAGCGAGCGTTAGCGTTTAGCACGAAAACAGCACGCGACATCTTTTCTCTTCTTCACTGCGCCACGTCGACGTCTCCGACTGCGGTGGCGGCGTCGGCGAAGGAGACAGCCGAGCAACGTCGCCGCGGTGTGCCTCGCGCAACTCAGCAGCCGACACCAGCGTTTCCTCATCACCTCACAGCCAATCACCTCCGCGCACGTCTCGCTTCCCACGGAGCCGCCACCGCCGCCGCTGCCGAGCAAGTCGCCGTCGCTGTCGTATCTCTGTTCTTGGTCGCACCGCGCCGGGGCGCCTTTCGGGATTTCGCACACCCACTCCGTGAGCGGTGTAGGGGACACGGGGTCTCACGATATCTAGCAGGATTGCGAAGTGACAGTCGGTGCGGCGGTCCGGCAGGCCGGGTGGGCGGCCGACTGGCCGGGCGGGCCAGGCATGCAAGCAGTCAGGCCGCTGCACCCGCCTAGCACCACCTGTTACGTGGCAGCTCGGCGGCGCGCGAAGCGACAACGGCCCGTCTGCCGTCGGCGAAGACCCGAGCCTCGCGTCCACGTACCGCACACACACACATCCACTCTCTCTCACACACACACGTACCTTGTGTCGTTGTGGCGGCCAAACTCGTCACTGCGATGAGCACACACAGCAACAACTCCAGCTTCGGACGCCGCGGGCCGGAGGCACCCGGCTCCATGGCAACTTCCCCCATCGGGCACTAGCGTCTCTTCGTCAACCTGCGGCCGAGCCGCTGCTTCTTGTCGGGTTACAATAAAATCACGAAACTATTATCTATACAAAGTTTCATAAACAGGTGAAACGTCGTTATGGAATAAAACACGAGAAATCACGCGATTTTCTTAAAAAGCTCTCTGAACCGGGCAAACTTGTTTTCACCGGCACACGAACATCACTGCTGCAGAGCGGTGTCGCGGAGTCCGGAAGTGCTGAGACGCCGGCGAAGGCGCTGACTGCGGGCGGGTGCGAAGGTGCGACGGTGGCGCCGAGCCGGAGCGGCGCGACCAGGCCCCGTGTCGCGGCGTCAGAGCGCTCACGCTCGCAGGGCGGCTGGATGGAGCTCGCTGGTGAGCAGGGGGCCGGACACACCACGCTAGCGCGCGCTCGCTGGCACCGGCAGCAATGCACTGCCGGAGAGACGGGAGACGGGCTGCGCGCGCGCGAGGCGGCGGCCGGCGGCCGGCGAGGGGCGGCCCGGAGCGAGCGTGCGCGGCAGCGCGAACCCTCACCGCACTCGCGGCGCGGGGTGGGCCACCGCTCGCCCTCCCTCCGCCCCCTCCCTCCGCCCCCGCGCCATCGCCCTCCGCCCTCCAGTCCTCGCCTCACACGGGGGGCGGTCCGCCGGCCTTCATTGTTGGGAGGCGGCGAGGCAGCTTCGATCGTGGCGTCAACGCAAGGTGCTCGCCGATTGTTTTCTCGCACAGCCTCGCGGGCTCCGACGCATTTCCAGATCCACTTTTCAGCTGGATTCAATCCGCGCTGGAAATGACTGGGCTGTCTGTCGCACGTTCATCATTTCTCTGCCTTCCCTCCTTAGAGTACGTGGCATGAATGACTCAGTGTTACAGTACTGAAGAAACAAAAGAAAATTTGCTGACTAACCGTATGGTATTTTCACTTCGAATATCTCCACTTCCAAAGTTAAGCGCTGTTATTGCAATGTAAATTATTTTTCACATCTCATTTTTTTCAATTCTCATTTTCTGAAATAAACAAAATTGATGTACTTACATATTGGAAGATGCAAATAAGAACAGAAGTAAAGCTTTACATGCTTTCATATGTTCTACAGATTCGTAAAGACGTGTTAATGAACCCCGCTATCTTAAAACAATAATTTACAGTTAACTTGTTTTGGAAATGTTATCACATTCCACTTCCAGGTAACTGTGAGACAGTGGCGGGTTCTGTCAAACCAGCAGACAAAGTGCACCTGCAATGCTTACTGCATAGTGTTTTATATTTCATCAGCTTTATGACCACTAAATTTGTCAGTCAATATTACACCGAGTGTTTGAGCTTTTACATTCAAGTTGCGAACCTCCCACAATCATCATTATTCAACTGATTGGTTTGCACTGTAACACGAAAAATCTGATATTGTCGTGTAGCGCTAGTGAAAACGTGCATGTCATAAAGAGATTAACATGTATGACCATATCGTGTTTGGTGAAATACATTCGACATTTATAGGTGTCCCATACATACTATGTCCACATGGAAATATTTGTCAAAATAACTCACAAAGTTTGAGTTAAAAATAAGCTGTGTTCTGATGTCATGGAAGCTATTAATAATATTACTCTTTCCCAACTCGGGTGATGAGAACAATGAACTCTATATTCCGTGTATGAATGCTCTCTCATCAGTTTATCATACGCGTCGATTCTTGAAGCTTAAGTTGATTGCCGGGGTAAGAGACGATTGCCAATTTAGTTTTTCAAGCTTGCCAAAATATAAATAATAATAATAATTATTATGACGGTCTTCGTCATTTCCACGACATTCTGATGTATGGCATATAAATATCTTCACCAATACACTTGTTTAATAAGTTTATATTGACGTAACGAAAGTACACTCAAACTAATGCTGACTGAGTTAGCGTCATACAAATAACTATTAAAACAAATGAAAATAAACTCTTTAAACTTACCACGAGTAGATATGATAGCGAGGTTAAAATGTAAATATAGAACAATATCGACGGCCCAGGCTGGACACAATACCTTCTAACCCCGCCCTCCACCCGATTGAAATCATGTGCGCCATGTATGTAGCGAAGCATCTAGATGCACCCCACTAGCTGACGTAGTCAAACAACTACAACAGTAGGAATTCTTTATTGTTGATCGTATATATATATACCTATTAGCTAATATAACTATATATATAATAATTATACATTATATATAAATGACAGGCGTCGCTGATGACCTGACGTTATAAAGCGACCATAAATAAATAAATGCTAAAAAAAGAGAATGTGCTTGTAGCGAGAACGCAATTTAGGTGTAGCAGAATAGCACAGGACTAAACTTAAGATGCAACTTAACACGGAAAATCGAGACAAAAAAATGTCGTGCGAGAAATTCGCGGTTGAGCAGACGAAACCACTCCGCCTCGATAAATCTAAGATGGACAAATGTACAGTCAGATAAACGATCGATCCTTTGGATGTGAAGGGGCTTAACAGGGGAAATGAAAACCAGAATCGGAAGCCAGTTGTCAATTAGCTGCCCTCTATCAGGCATTGCGAACCGTCCATGATAACAAGCGGTTTCTCAAAAAAGATTCCCAAGACGATAAAAGGCCGTATCTTCCAGAAACAAGACAAATTATTGATGATGGCCATGCTCATCTTGATTCCAATTCTAAGCACAAGACTGAATATCTTCCATGATGCAGACTTGACCATTTAAATCTGTCTAAACGCACCTCACAGTTCCAATACATGTTCCAAATCGTACCAACGCCTAATCAAAACCGGCGACTTCTGTTCGGACGTGTACAAATTGTGCCACGAACGCCGCAACAAAATTCAAACTGATCTCGGCACGGATAGCGGCGAGCAAACCGATATTGTTATCGCGCATGGAATTTCGAGAAAAAAAATCCGTGGTCCTATTTGAAGATTTGGCTTAGGCTTTGCCACTTCAAAAACGCGCGCGCAACAAAGAACGCACAAAAGTCTTAAATACTAAGAGTTTGAAGAGTCTGATCGCCAATATAGCGTTAATAGCATTGCGCCTCGTCCGATTGGTCCCTCGTCAGTTCTAGGATCTACTAGAACGGCCGTGACTAGGCTGTTAGTTGGTGTGTCAATCTGTGGCTCTTGCTCCGCATTTAAAAGTATGAAAAAAATGCAGGAATTTTATTTGCCATGGAATATTAAAACAACTATAACCAGCGGAAAACTAAGCTATTCGCTAGTTTTAAAATAAAATTTTTGTTCATATTTGGGCACGGTAATCGTAAATATTAACAGTGGGAAAAACATTATTCAAGACAAATTATACCATTAGTGTAATTAAAAAAGAATCCATCAAAATCGCCCCATTCACTTCACATTCAAAAATGTCATTGAATGTAATGTTATTCAAGTTCCATTTGCACGATCCGTGTTCAAATAATTTAAAGGAAAAATATTACGCGTCCTCGTCTTCGAGAAAAATGGCGTTTCAACGTTCTGAAAATTTGCCATTTGAAGATCAGTTCCAGCTGCAAAAACCCCTTTGCGTAAGTGGTGTGTGTGTGTGTAGACGCGAGGCGGCAGCACTGTCACAAGACCAAGGAACAGCACCGGGTGATGATAGGACAAGGGCAGAAGTAGCGAAAGATCGCGGCGCGGTCTATGGCCAGTTTGTTAGGGTTCTGTTCCGGCATTATGCCATGTGTTTGATCGGCCGAAAACCACGGAAAAAACTACTGATCAGAGTAGCCAGCGCCCAAGAATTCTCTTACAGGACACGATTATATTTGACGTAGCTGACTAGAAGCTAGCTGATTAACATTTCTGCCACTCAGATACTAGGACCGGTCAGAGGACTGCATGGACAGTTGAGTCCTGAGCCATCTCTCCCGGTTTGAGTTTTAGAGAAACTATGCATCACTTGAAACATGTACCTGTAAGTGCAATAATGTATGGAAAATAGTCGGTAGGGTGCAAATTCATCTAAAGACGTGAGGTGAGGATATCAAAAAAACTTAGTGCCTCAACAGCTCATACTTCTTCTCGCATTATTTATACAATTTTTCAATTTCGAAAATTCAGAGAGTTTAACGAAAAGTGGGACATACGCCATACTTAGAAATCACTTCTCCCCATCCCGTTTAAAACAAGCTTGAAAGAAAAAAATTAAGAAAACGATTCAGCAGAAATTTCATACATTTTCAGACTTAAATTACGTGAAAATCTACTGAGTTTTTTTAAGCTGTACATGTCCTTTCTGAAAGATTTGTTTGTTTACATCGAGTTTGACTCATGCCAAAAAATTTCTTATCTTCAAATTCTTGTGGTTATGAAATGTTAAGTTTTTGCAAATTTTCCACAAAAAAAAAATTGACAACGATGGATTAGGCACCATATCTTTTTTTATCGACCCTTCATACTTACGAGGACAAAAAATTTAAAGAAAAAATATGGGCGATTCGGAGAAAAAACATCATTGCTCTAAAAAATTTAAAAATTGCCCCTATATTTTTCTAAAACAACGCGTACTTCATAAACCACTTCTCATATATTCTCGAACAATTAACTCATATTTTCCGAAACAGTTATACAATGCACCTTATTTCAACAACTTCTTAAAGAAACAGATGTTATTAATCTTCAATATCTATAGTTGTAGGAAGATGCCCAAAAAATAAAATTCATGCAATTTTCAAAAAACAAGGATTTTCAATGAAACATGATCCATTATCTATAAAACATACCTTTCTCTTATCCGAAGTCAAAGTTTGATAAAAAAAATGGTGCTATTTTTAAGAAAATTTTGAAAATGTTTTTGAGGCTTAATGTAAAGTGCCCTCAAAAATAAAAATATCCGATCGAACCTTCCAAAGCCTGGAGTTCGTTCAGATCGTTTGGGGAATATCAATTGCGGAGGCAGTCCCCTGAACGCTTTAAGGTCTAGCCTTGATCTCATACGGACAGACACACAGACAAAAAGAGACAGAGACCGCCAAAAAGTCCGATGTTTTGCCGTCAATCTTCTTTTCGGTCACAAGGAACCACAAAACATGTATTCTGACTACACCACGTGTTAGAGGAAGCCATTTATTATAATTATATAGGAACAGGATTTATCCACTTTTTCGTTACCAAGGCTCGGCAATGCGAGTTTTTCTACCGAATATTCGCCATTTTCCGGCGCACAATTACGCAAGTTTCACTTCTTACAAAGTAAGTGCAAGAAAGTAAACTCTAATTTTTCGGTTTCAGGGGACCCCAGAACTTAACTTTATCTATCTAGTCTTCTGAAGTATTTCTCTGTACTTCATATAGTGTATACGTAAAAGAAAACATGAAAATAAATTATATTACGAGTGTGTTAAAAAGT